TAGAGATTAATTTTCAAATAAATGTATAACTATTATATGATTGTGATTGTTACAGATTGATGTACCTGAAACTGGTGAAAGCCAAATCAATAAACAACTAACTGATGGCTGTCAACCACAATTATGCCAAGAAGTGGGGAAACGATATCAGAAGATCTTGGAAACCAACAAAAATTTTGATCCTATGTTGAAACTGAAAGCCATATTATTTTTCATTATTTGTTTTACACTTTTTATTTGGTGTTTAATACATTTTATTGCCATTAATTCTCCTACTAATTAAGGTGCAGACTCTGCTCATTCTTTACTTAAGTTTCTTTATTTGTGATAGATATCTGACTTCTGACACTAATGAAATAATCATTAGATTAAATGCTTGTAATGAGTAATTTTGTTTTAAAAATTACCCTATACTTAGAATTAATTATGCAATTTAGTATAAGAAAGGGCACTACAGTATATTGAATATACTTCCAATTCCTAAAATAAGTTGTTAAGATTTTGTATCGGATTAATACATATTCTTAATTAGAATATAATGGTGAAGATATAAAATGAAAATAAAATAAATCATCATTATAGAATTCTAAATCTACTCCATGTTATCAAATTTGATATTTCATTATATGACTGGTTTGTACAAGTTTTATCTGTTTAGATTATAGAAAATTACTATTTTTTAGATTTGTGTTTATTCATTTCCTTTGTTCCATGTTTATTTTTCAGATTGTTCGTCAAGAACCAATTAGAAACATATATTAAAGCCTATGTAGCAGCAAGGTAATCAATCTCATTAAAGTGTGCAGAATCTGCTAAATTGCAAAAATTTGTCCATAACAGCAAAATCTCTAGTATATAGAATGATTGAGGCCTATTGTGACATATGAATGTGAAACATGATTCATGACAAAAGAAAGTGAAAGGATCTTTCAGGTATGGGAAAGATAAGTATTGCAAAAAATTTATAGGCAAATGAAAGTGAAGGATCAATGGAGAATCAAAACTGATCTAGAGTTCACGGGTCTATATGGTGAACAGGACATTGTGAGTCATCCAACTAAATAGACTGACTGCAATGGTTAGGGCATGTGGAGAGGATAGACTCTGAAAGAATTTCAAGAAAAGTGCTCTATAAAAAGCACAGGATGGAAGTTGATGAAAGCCTCAGTTCAGATGGTTGCATGTGGAAGACAACCTGAAGGAGATGGGTATAAAGAGGTGGAGACGCTTCACAAGTGGTTCTTCAACGACTACAGAGCCCAGTAATGAAAGAATTTTCATATTTGATTTAGAATTCCATACAATCATTATGTGTTATGATTGGATTTGAAAAAACTATATGAAAATCAGTCACCTATAAGAAGGGGATCAGCCAAGGTTGCAGCCCTAGGACCTGGACCCCAAATAGGGGGAGGCCTACCCTATTAGGTTTTATTTTTTTAATATCAAAATTCACATTAAAATACAGTATAGATAACATTACACATGTTCCATAGTAATTATGTAATATCTTTACATATTTTTGTTGCAATTTCATAAAAGGATCCAGTTGAGTTTTAGAGGTAAATTTAAAATATAAGAGGGCATGGAAAAATTAACCCTGAGCTCCTTGGTTTCTCTCCATGGCCCTGGTAAAAATTGCAAAAAAAGAAATAACATTTGGAGAGAGAGAGCATATAGAAATAAAAATCAAATTTGGCCAGAGGAAGCAGGTATAGATTTATCATTAACAGAGATCATTTTTTTCAACAGTAAAAAATTGAAGTTTTTTTTTTTTTTATTGATGATATTTACAACTGTATTACATGTAAAAATACATTCAGTAAATGAGAACAAAAGAATATAATAGCATGAAATCACTTGTTGAGAAACTACCCACTGGTAGCACTCTAAAAATGTATTTACAAAAGGAGATCTCGAGGCCATCTTCTTTTCAGACGCATCGGAGGGTTGTCAGGGATCGAAAACGAAGCAAGGTTAGAAACGAGAGGGTTAGGATGGTTTTGAAGTTTGTTACGGAAGGATAGGTATCTGGATTGGGCCAGGTCAGAAACATAAGGAACATTAAGGTCGTTATGGATGATTTTGTTTGTGACAAAGTAACGAGCTGTGAGGATTTTACGAAGGATTTTGGATTGTAAGGATTAGATACGAGAGGAATTCGATGGAAATGAGTAAAGCCCCAGAGCTCAACTCCGTAAGTCCAAATAGGTCTTATTGTAGTCATGTATATGAGTCTTTTGTAATTGACTGGGAGCTTAGAGCGTTTGTCTAGTAAGTGCTGGAGTAGTTGGAAACGTCGAGCTGTTTCTTGTCGTTTCAGTCTGGTATGAGGATTCCAAGTTAGACGTTTGTCTAAGTGGAGTCCAAGGTATCGAATTTGTTCAACAGGGATAAGTGGGGTATTATTAAAGGATACTGTAGGACAAGAGGACATAGGTTTACGACGAAGGGTAAAGGTGATTTGATGGGATTTATTGGAATTTATTTTTATCCTCCAGTTTTGAAACCATTCTTCAAGGTTTGTGATGTGTGATTGAAGGGCTTGGGATGCAATTGTTGGAAGAAGAGTTAAATTGTATAAATAATACCTTAAATAAACTTGCGAAAATCATCATTTTAAAAAATAATTAATTTAATTCACTTTTAACTTTATTATATTTTGCTGGAGCTAATCCTCTAGTCTTGTTGCTAACAGGGTTCTCTATAATTTCAATTACGTGCTAAATTATACTTCTTGATGGTCCTCTGATAGAAGGCCTCAATACTGTGTTCTCATAACTTCATAAAGGGGAAGGAAAGTAGATAGATATAAAAGTACAAATAGACAGGAGTTAACCAGCAAACTAACATTACTGCAACCTATAGGTAACCAGACTAAAAATGTTGCTAAAGAATAGGTAATAAAAATGTTGCTAAAGAACAGATAAATGCAAGCAATAGGAAACAGCCACCGAATCTTGCAGAGGCAAACTGAGGAGAGCCAACCTGTAACCGAAAAAAAGACAAAATAGTGATTGAAATTTATTAGATATCCAAAACTCATTTTTACACTGCTAGAAAGGTACATGGGATTTGATGTAACATACATTGATGCCTCTAAAATGAAAAAAAGTGACGATTGAGCTATCTACGTTAACAAAAACGACTGCCAAAAGTTAATACATTGATGCCTCTAAAATGAAAAAAAGTGAGGACTGAGCTATCTATGTTAACAAAAACGACTGCCAAAAGTTAACAATTCACTTCAGAAACTTTATCACAAACGTCCTCCTAATTTGAAACAATCAGACATAAATTAAATTCATCAACAAATTAAATTAAAGAAATTTTATAAGACAATGAAGAGAAAGTTGTTACTCAATTTCAATACCTAAAGTAAACAAAATATTACAATAGAAGGTGAAGGGATAACTTGTCACTGACTCTTAGGGATATATGCAAAAACAAATGAAAAAAAAATCCACTCGTCAGTTCAAACAGTTGAATCTTGCTAATATTATTTTTCAGGCTTTAAATGTCTCTAATATTGATTACTGTTGTAATCCACAGCTCTTACCATCGCTAAGTCTCCACCAAGCTGGACAAGGTTCAACATGTTACAATTTAGAGTAGTCCTATCCTCAGTAAATACTATGAAGCAAGTTTAACTACCCATTTATTTACAAAACAAAAATTTGCAGAAAATTAATTTCCAAACTCAGCTCCTGGCTCAGGTCTTTATATGAAATAAAATATGATGGGGCAGATAGGTAATGCATGCTTTACAGTCTTGGCCTGCAAGCCTTAGGAGACCCCTAATAAGCCAAAAATGGCTAGTACTGATGTTAGACTATATACATTATTGTTTTATATGTATGCTAAAAGAAATTAATCATGCATTATTAATTTTAATTAATCACACATTATTGTGAATCATATCTTAGATATTTTTTAACTTTAGAAAAATTGTAAATTATAGATGAACTTTACTATATCATTTTCTTAAGAACTAAGCAGTTTTAAGCTTTTTATTTAAAATTTGCTACAATTTTTTTCTAATAATAAATGTATAAAAGTTTCATAATTGTGGATTGATGGTTGACTGTAGTGAATAATTGAAGAAAAGAATGGTTAGGGTGATCAGTATAAAAAAAAAGTAAAAATAAATAAGTATAAAAGTTTCATATTACACATAAACTACATCGTTTGCTGATGATCTACTAATATATGCAACTAGTAGCAACATAACAGCACTCGAAGCAGCATTTAATGAGGCAATGACAAGACTTTTTACCTGGACCAAGTCAAACGAAATGGAAGTGAACATCCAGAAAACTGACTTTCAACTGTTCACGTTATCCACCAAAGTGTACGAGCTGGAAATCATTTATAATAATGCTCCCTTGCAAAGAACCTATGCAGGCAAATACCTGGAAGTTAAGTTAGACACCAAAATGAATTGGAACAGGCAAATTGAAGATGAATTTGGCTTTTATGTTTTGAGATTATAGTCCAGGATTCACTGCTGTAGGTCAGCATAGGAACAAATGTATTTTTATAAATAGTTTTCTTGACATTTTTTGGCACTTCTCTCTTTGCTAAGAATCCTGTTTTTAGTTAATAGAAGTATTTGCTTACCAGTCTTATTCTTTCCCTGAGTTTGTCATCTATTCAGCCAGTCTCATTTAGATGGGCTCCCAGATAATTACTGTAGTACTTGGTACTCCGACTCGGGTTAATTTGAAATATTACTAAAAAACTAGTATCAGTCCAACTATGACTCCATTGTTAGATTGTAAATGTCATTAACACTTAAAAGTTATGGATCAAACTCAAATATCAATTTCAATTTATGTTAGAATTTATTGAAAATTATTAAGAATTGGCATGACAGTAGATTATATTTTAATGTAGAACAAATTCACATTTTTTAAGTAGATAAAAATAATAATGTAACAAATAAGAAGGAGGGTAAAGGAAACAAAGAATAAAATAAATAAAAACATCAGATATGTTTTGCAATAAACTATATGGAAGTATAAAATTTATTTAGAATAAACAAATTAAACTAATGATATTTGAAAAAAATATATATAATAAACAAACTTAAAAAATTAGGCTTTCCCATACAAAAATATAGTTACAATTTCTTGATGATATTTCATAAATGATAAATGACACTTAAAAATTATTTTAAGAAATTTAGCAATAATAATTAATTTCCATGGAATGTACTAACATAGCATTCTATAACTTAATGATTTCCTCAACAGCTTTGACAACACTTCCTGCATCAATCCCATACTTTTCTAATAGTTTCTGGGGAGGTCCAGATCTTGGAACTTCATTAACCGCCAGTATCTTGATTAAAAATTTTGACATGGCACAGGCTGAAGACACAGCCTCACCAACACCACCTAGAAATGTCACATTAGTACATATCTACTGATTAAATCAACTATAGATAGCAAAATAAACATATAAATGGAAACTAAAACAATCAGTTTTAATATGATACAATTTAATGCAAACTACACATTTTAGACATTAATTCGTTCAATAAAATTTAATAAAATCCAATGAGTCACATGGAAGATTCATGAACACAAAACTATGATTATATTAATTATCTTATTTCCCATATTAAAAGTTTTGAATATTATGAAATTACAATAATATAGTTTTAAAAAAAATAACTATATTCTACTGCAATATAGCTATGCAAATAGAAGAAGAAAAATAAATTTTACTCTGGGACTTTCAATCCCCTATGAATAATTAACAATGAATAATTTGGTAACATTTGTCTGACATAAAAAGATGATCAAGAATTAATTAAATTACAATAGAAAGGCACAAGTTAACATTTGAATTATAGACAGATATATATGAGCGTGTTCACATATAAATATAGGTATCAATAAGATAACGGCATAATGAGATTGACATTTCTAAAACACAAATATTATTATTACATTTATTTGAAAAATTGATTGCTGAGGAGATGGAAAAATAAATGGTATTTAAACGAGGTTAAGGAAGAGGATTTGCGTACGTATGAGAAAGGATTTTTTAAAGGAAACAGTTCTATGAGAAGGAATAAAAAGGTTTTTGGGTTGGGATCTCGTGTTGAACAAATGGATCGAGGAGCAAGGAGTAAATAGATCAAGAGGTGAGCGGATTTTTTTGTTGTAAAGGTTCGGAAAAGGAAAACACCTAGGAGATACTGCCGTCGGAAAACTGGATAGAGCTACTTCAACTCTGCATACCAACTGGAGACGTGGGAGCACCTGGGGGCTTCTAAAGATTAATCTAATAAAGCAATTCATCAGCCTTCTCAATCTGATCTCGAGCCATCCAGACAATCCACCGTAAACAAGACAGTCATAATCAAAGTGAGGAAAAATGAGAGAGGACACTAGGAGCAGAATGGTCTTTAGGGGCATAGAATAACAAAATCGCAGGAACTGTTGGGCTCCAATAGATTTTTGGATAATGTGGGAAATATGATTGTTCCAGGAGACTTATTGATCAAAAATTACTCCCAGATTTCTTATGGAAGTATGAAAATGAACAGGTAGTCCATTGAGGTAGAGTAGGGAATAATAAGGAACGGAATTGATGAGATGCTTGGAACCAATGAGAATCACTTTAGTCTTCTCGACTACAACATTAAATCATTGCTGGCTGCTCAAGTGTTAATAACATCTATATCATTCTGAACCCATTGGATCACCTCAAGCATCACTGTGGGATGAAAGGAAAAGTAGATTTGAAGGTCGTCTGCATAAAGGTGATATTGCGAATGATGGATGGAATCAGGAAGGTCGTTGATATAGATGAAGAAAAGAGTTGGAGAGAGCGAGGATCTCTGAGGAACACCACGAGTTAGTAAGAAGGGGGAGGAAGGAATTTTATTGGGAATGATAACTGTTTGAGACTTGTGATACAAGGAGTGAAACCACTTTAGGACGCTATTTGATATAGGAGGTTTTGGAGTTTGGAAAAAATTTCAAGATTAACGGAATCAGCTTTTGAAAAATCAAAGAGGGCCAGGATAGAGATTTTCTATTTGTTTATGAAGAATTGAAGGTCTTGGGTGATATTCAACAAAGTAGGTTGGGTGGAGAACTGGGATCGGAAACCAGACTAGAAGGGACTGAGGAGAGCATTTTGCTCAAGGAAGGTTTTAAGTTGTGAATGGACTAGTCTTTCGAGAGGTTTTGAAAGTTTGGAGAGACTGGAGATGGGTCAGAAATCTGAAACTTTGGAGGGAACCGGAACTTTGCTCAACGGGTGGACTATAACATTTTTCCAATCTGATGGGAAACTGGAATTTTGAAGGGAAATATAAATATGCAGTAGGATAGGAAAGATGACAGGGAGACATAGTTTGATTAATTTCACAGAAATCAGATCCGGACCATAGTCATTCGTTCGGAATTTGAGTACAGAGGAGAGTAGGTCCTGTGGTAACATATTTGTAAAATAGAATTTTGTAGGGTCAAAGGAAGTTTTTGGAAGACAGTATGAAGAGGAGAGTGGTATAGAGATAGGATCAGCAAAGTAGGAATTCAGTTGATCAGAAGAGACAGGGTAGGAGGTTGAGGTTTTGGACTTGACTGGAAGAATTGTGCCTTAGCACGTCCTAAGGAAGATTGGGTGAGGTTTCAGAGTGTCTTAAAAGAGATGTTATCTTCTGGATTGTGTGTGTGTCTGAAGCACCTTCTAGCAGCATCTCTTTTCTTCATCAGCACTCTGATTTCAGGATTAATCCAGGGAACAGCAGGGTGTCTGAAGGTAGTGGTTTTTAAGGATGCCTGTTTATTCAGGAATACGAGTAGATTGGAGGAAAGGCATTTCACCATTTCATCAATGGATGACTAGGAACAAATGGGATCTAAGGATTGGGCAAGTGGTTCGAGAAAAGGGTTCAGTTTTTCAGCGGTCAATGAGCCTAGATCCTGCCATAGGATTTGCTTAGGAATGAACTTAGGAGTCGGGACATTATAGGAAATCTTGATGAGATCATGATATAAGAGAAAGGAGACCGGATTCTGAGAGGAAGATAATAAATTTTGAGAGGAATCAATTATAAAAAGGTTGAACTGAGTATCCATGTACATGTATACATGTACTCGAAAACTAAGTATGGTGAGTGGGTTAAAAGAGAATGATGAATAGGTGAAGGGAGTGGATTAGGTCTACAAAGTATAATTTGTCGGGAGAGTCGGAATACTAATATACTACACATCATGACTAGAAATTTTAATATAGTAAATACTTAATAGATAAAATAGAACCACATAAAAACTAACCTTGTGGATAATGCTCTTCTACTACAATTATCTTTCCATTACACTGTTCAGCATGTTTTTTGATAGATTCAGCATCAATTGGTTTGACCGTAAACAAATCCATAACTCTGATCTTGATATTAGATTTTTCCAATTGCTCAGCTGCTCTTAAAGCTTCATGCAAAGTAACACCAGCACCAATGACCAATACTTTATCCTGTTTACTTTCTTTTACTATGAGAGATTTGCCAATCTGTAAGAAAAAGTAAAGTTAATATTATTGACAAGTGTTATCAGAATAAATCAAATATTTGAAATGTGGACTAGACAGAAACAAAAAACAAATGCAGGAAAACTATCAAGAGAGATTTAGATGATGGTGAATTGCGAAGAAAAAGAACAAATATTATATTGATAAATGTTATTACAAAGGTAAGTAAGTTGACAGAGCAAACTATAAAATCCATAGTAAATCTATGGTTCTCAAAAGAAAGAATTTGATCATTTCAAATTTTGCAAAAAAAAACTATAAAAATTAGTCCATCAAACAGAGATGCTTGCATGAATAGTAAAGTTGTTATCACATTTATTACTTGTACAGGTCGTATGATAAACATATCAACAGTGAACAATACAATAAAACAACCTTCTATAACTGTATAATATAAAAATTATTTTTTTTCATAAACATGGAAATGTACAAGAATTTCTAACTTGAATATTATAGGAGCACAAAATTGATTACAATGTTCACTGCATACTTAAAAAACTGATAGTCCGATAAATAATGGTTAAATTCTTGAACATTTTTATGAGTAAAAAAAAGTTGATTGGAAAGGATCACTAAGGCAAGTAGAGCGAGAGAAATGAACAATTATATATTAAACATACTTGGACTCAGCGAAATGATATAACTGGAACATGGCTAAATGACTAAAAGAGAGAGTAAAGTATTCCTGTACTCATCAGAACCTACTGGAGGAGCTGAAAAAAGGTCAGGTGTTGGACACTCATGATCAAAATGTTTTGGAGAAGCCTAATGGAAAGTAGACCTAATTAAAATAGATTGTTAATTGCCTATTTTAAGTCAAGCATTTAAAATAAAAGCATTTTTCATTGCCATGATCGAACTTTGCCATGATCCAAAAGGAAGTTTTGAATAAAAAGTACTACCACACATGAAAAATATTATCCTCAGCATACCCAGAAGGGACATGGTAAAAGTCATGGGTGAGTTAAATGCAAAGGTTGGTTCAGACATGAATAGCATAATAGGACAGCACAGCGTGGGACAAGCCAATGAAAATAGAGAGAAGTACAAAAGCTTGTTAGCTGAACACGATCTTGTTGTAGAGGTGGTACAATATTCCAACACAAGGAATGCCATAAATTCTAGTGAGTACCCCTAGACAAAACTACAGAGAAGCAAATAGATCAATTTGCCATTAGTACTGAAGATTTCTATGAGGCATAAGTAACAAGAGGTGAGCAGATATTGGTAGTGACTACTACCTTTACCATCCCTCCACATAAAAATTAACTCAGCAGAAAACAAGATTAAGATGAAAAAGAAATGGCTCAATAAAAAGAAGCTTGCCTGGGGGAACAAAAAAGCTTAGGCAGATACCTCAATGGGACACCTAAAAGGCGAATATACTGGAGGTAGGGAGATTTATGTTGGCTATGAGAACCCATAGAAAAAATAATGGATAATGGGTGATACCTGGCAAGAATGACCTGCTCAATAAACAGGAAGAGTGGAACCGCCCCGATTAGTTAATCAGGAGAGCTGAGGCACTGTGAGGAACATTTCTCACATTGCCTTAGGCCAGAAATGCATGGAAGCAAAGAAACCATATTTTTGGTTACCTGATCCTAGAGCAACTGCATATTGGATAACTCCCTACCCACCATTTCTGGCAAACAGGGAATTGTTCTAGAGGAACAATCGAACCTATTTTAATCAGAGTGGGATGGTCAAGTTTCATTCCGTGGGTCCGCAACAAAATAAAAGTAAGCCCCTCCCAGGCCGGATTTGAACCAGTGGCGCTAGGAACGAGGATGCTAGAATTTGCAATGCTCCAACACACCCGACCTCATCTTCTGGAATAACTGATGTATCTCCTCCTTCAATGAAATCACTGAATCCTTAACAGAAATGAAGAAATGTAAATCCTCAGCAATAGATGGCATTCACACAGAAATCCTGAAGGTCAATGCATGTACCAGGCAACTATAACTGAACCATTATTCAGGAAAATATAGGACGATCAGAAAGTGCCTTCAGAGTGGAAGAATGAACTCATTGAGGAAATTCTAAAGAAAGGTAACATTTCTAGATGCGCAAACTAGTGAGATATTGTGCACTGCTTCCTCTTGTGAGAAATGTGCTAAACTGGGTAACTGAATTGGATCAAGAAATTGACTGAACAATGTTTGAGGAAGGAACAAGCCATTTCAGGGAGCACTGAACCTGTACTGATCTCATCATGCGGAATTCAAAAAGGATTGAAGGAGAGATTCAAGGATTTCGACTTTGTAAATGAGTCAATAGCCAGAAAGGAAGGTGGCTCAGTGGAAGATGTAAAAAGCCAAATAAAGAATGTTAATGAGGCTCTTCAATAAGAACTTGAAATTGGTTCTACTTTAAGACAGAGAAACCTGGAAAATCATAGAAAGCATCACCGGCCCACTACAGCCAACTTCATTGGTTTAACCAAATCAATGTCTACATAGAATACTGGGAATAGATGGTCAGAACATATTTCAAATGAAGATCTGTAGCAAGCCGCCAACCAGCTCCCGATACATTTGGAAAAAGAAAGGAAAACTGGTGAGGCTATGGAAAAAAATATTATTTAAATGAACTTTTTCATAAATAAGTACATAAATAAAAATAGTTGAATAAAATGAAGCTGAGACCTGGAATTCTTGAGTATTTTCGTAAAGTACAGCAGTATTTGGTCTAGATGTCCTAATATAGCAGATTCCTTTGGTATTCGCGGCAAATTCAACAGCTCGGGCACAACTAACAGCATCAGAAGGATAGAAGACAGTTGACCCTGTGAACAAAAATTAAAAATGTTTAAATAATAAAAAATCCTAGTTAATTCCTAAACTTTCTAACTTTCAATATAATTAATAAATGACAAAACAGAAAACATTCATAAATAAACAACCCGAGTTATAAATCATTTAGTTATTAGTAAAATCATTTAGTATTTATACCAAAAATATCAAATTCAAACAAAAAGAGCTTTTCTCTGTAGGCCAAAGTAAAACCAATTGAACAATTACAATTACCAAGAATTTCTAAAAATAAGTTTAAGATAACTCTCATCAATTATCAATTTTTGTTTTGTGTGACTTAAGTCTCTCAGATAGTTATATGGAGAAGCTGACCCACCTGCTGAAGATAATAGTTTTTTTTTCACAACATAATAATGGGATTTATAAAAAAACTGATAAGGTGAATGTTAACTAACCAACATCTTCTCATAAGAAATAACTTTTAAGATTTACATAGAAATTTGTTTTACACTCAGGCAGGCTCATTATGTTTAAAATAACAAAATTTAACTATACAAAATCATTTTAATTAAATAAAGTGTGATAATTTAACTTTAATGATAAATTGTGGATAATAAAGTCATATTTTGATGAATCAAACAATGGAAAAAGAAATTCATTCAAAATCCAATACATATATGAAAATCCCTATCAGCATGACCACTCGATCAAGCCAAAAATTATCAAGGAACAAACCTGATAAACCAATGTGATAAAAAATTGTGGCCAATAGGTTGGTTAGTAGCACCTCCTTTATTTGATGTTTTTCTTTTATACAAGCCAGTTTATTTATTTGATTATTTAATTGAGGAAGTATATAACAACCCATCATACATCACATAAAACAATTGTGAAGTTTTGGTGTTTTTTTTTAGTTTTTTTTATAGACTTTCTGAGATTTATAATGAGTAAATTAAATTATGAGTAATTTCTCAAAAATGTATTTTATGCAATAAAAAGAATATTACCTGGAATTGAACGGAAAAGTGCCAAGTCTTCTAGACCCATCTGGCTTGGACCATCTTCACCAATACTTACTCCACAGTGAGAACCAACAAAGTTGGTATTTGACATTGAAATGGCAGCAACACGAATCTAAAATAAAATTATACTATTTTAGATATAAGCACTAACAAATATAAATGATACAAAGAGACACATATAAACTACATAATGAGTACATTGATTATACAAGAAATGAACAGACAAAACAATATAACGGCCAGGATATGACACGAGGATTAAAAGCAAGACTAACTCCTATCACTTTTTAACATGAATAGTAATTAACAATCAAGTTATAAATATCAGTTGGTGTTTGGAATTAAGGTTGTTTTTCTTAAAAAAAAAAAAAAATCTGTATCCCTACAACCCATGAAGAGTAGTATTGGGTTCAATATTTAGGGAAAGTAATGTTTCTTAGTCAACTGTTATGCAAAGAGGTGATTTGACTGAGATCACAGTTAACTGCCAGGTTTTCCTCCTCAATTAATTAAATTAAATATTGAATTAAGGGTACCTACCTACTTTATAGAGGTTGGGTATGCCCCATGAGGGTCTAGCGATCCCAGGGTCACCCCAAAGCTGATAAAACAGAATAAATAATGACCGAAACATAATCAAAGGATTTGGTAATGAAAGACTTGGTGTAAGTTGGCTTTAAAATAAATATATTGAAAACTAAATACACTGACAGGCAAAAAATTCCACCCACTTGATTTTTTCATCTAAAAATATCTCTGCTTTGGATTGGTCTATTGTTTTTAATGAATAAATAGGTTATCTTTTTGTTTGTTTTCAATTAGGAATGTAAATATAGAGGACGATAACCCTTAATTCAATGAAATGATTCTAGATTCCATTGTTTACTTTCTATGGAATCAAAATGTTTATTCAGTATCATTAGTTCAGTGCCGTTTCTTGCAGCACATTTCTTAGTCCCCGGCTTTTAATTTTTTCAATATTAAGTTTAAAAATGCCTCTTAGTGCTGAGGATGTTGCACGTGGTATGGCACTTATTGATGATGGACGTTCCATTAGATATGCAGCTAATGCCATCAGAGTTCCATATGAAACTTTACGAGATGCCATCAGGCGTTTTCGGGAAACTGGTTCTTACAATAGAACCTTTCCAACGTGGTTCCTTAATGGTGTGGGCTGGGATTTCAATGGAGCGCCGCACAGAATTGGTTGTTGTTCGTGGAGGGTCTTTGACAGCCATTCGCTATGTAGATGAGATTTTGGAACCTCATGTGTTGCCTATCCTCAACGAAATCGGCGATCGTTCTATTCTAAAGCACGATAATGCTCGCCCACATGTCGCCCGCATAGTGCAGACGTTCCTTCAACAGAACAATATTGAGGTTTTAGCCTGGCCAGCACGTTCTCCAGATTTGAACCCCATCGAGCATTTATGGCATAACCTTGGAAGACGAATAAGAGCGCGTGCAACACTTCCTGATACACTGCAGGACCTTGAAAGGGCTCTTTGGGAGGAATGGGCTATCCTCCAGCAAAGGGACATTTCCTGACTGGTGGAAAGTATGCCGAGGCATCTTCAAGAAGTAGTGAAGGCAAGAGGAGGAAACACGCGCTACTAAACGATGATGTAATTAATTTCTTTTAGAATAATAATGGTTCATTTTTCAATTTTTTTTTTCTAAGCTTTCTTACCCAATCATATTTTGATTATTAAAAGTAAAAAAGATTATAAAATTCGATAAATACTAAGTATTATCTACAAATACCATGTATTATATACAAATACAACTTTACAGAAATATTTTTAGATGAAAACATGGAAAAATCAAGTGGGTGGAATTTTTTGCCTGTTAGTGCATTATGCACCAAAATGGAAGAAAAGAATATTGGGAAGAATAAATAATTTTCCTGCCATGAACCGAGATTCAAACCTGGGACCTTGAGCATTGGAAGTTCAGTGCCCAACCACTGAGCTACTCCACTTCTGTTTTTCTCAATACCAATTCATAAATAGTTCTAACAAAAGAGAAAAAATCAGATAAATATTTTGTATAACAACTTAAAGAAATGATTATAGTATTCTTTCTTCAGATCTATACAGAAATTTTAAGGGAGCGGGGTAGCTCAGTGGGTGAACACTGACTTAAAGAGCTCAGGGGCTCAGGTTCGAGCATGGATGATGACTAGTAATTTTTCATCAGCTGTGGATCGACCCTGGAATTGGAAGACGCTCCTAGAGAACACCCTGCCTCTATAAAATGAGTAGTCTTAATAAAATAATTAATTAAGGGGAAAAACCTGGTGGTTGAGTGTAATCTTGGCCCAATTACCTCCCTGCACAAGCGTTGGCCTAGTAACAGTACATCCTCACATAGTACGGAACCCAAGACCCTTCATAGGTTGTAATGGGCCAGATATTTTTTTCTATATATAAATTTAATTTTTAATCTCATAGATAAATTGCACAAGGCTTAGTTTTTTCGTTGTTTTTTTCTGTTGCAATACAGACATTGATCTTTTGCCACCTTAACAAGCCTTCTTCATTTCTGTCTGTCTTGGGCTATTTCTTTCCAGATATCTGACAGGAGAAAAGTTGATTTTCCTATTTCTCTTAAAGCATTCTAGTTTCAATTTCATAAGTTCTCAATATAACTTTGCCATAGAAGATTATGAAGTTTATTTTCTATAAAATAGTTAAAATGAATTGTGCCTCGACCCAGAAATGGCATTGACCTCTGATTGAGTCAGTTTTTTATTATTTATTCTCTAAATTCATGTAGACCTTGAAAGACATTAAAAGAAAAGTATATACATGCCAAATTAAAGATTAAGGACCCATAGATTAACAGAATGATGAATAACAGGCCACAAGGATTACTGAAAAATTAGTTGAAAAGAAAACAATGAATGTTTTCATGAGAGAACAATAATGAGAAAAAGAGTTAAAGATGAATCATAATGGCCCAAAATATTGTAAACAATAAGAAGTTCAACCAAGATTTTGATGATGAAATTACAAAATGTGAAAATAAAGAAACTCCTTAATAGAAATTACATCCAGGACCCAAATAATTATACATTGGAAAAGTATACTTTCCAGCATGTCTCCAGGTATCAGATAGATGAACCCAACTGTCCTCTCTCTAAGTATCAGAGTGCTGAACAGTTAATAGAAGAAGCGAGTAAAGATAAAGCTGAAAAAGCTATCAAAATAACTGATCAAGAAATGCAGGAAAGTTACGAGTTAGTAAAACACATTTGGTGCTTAAATGGTGGGTTCTAAAATCCAAAAAGACATTCAGAAAAACAGATTATTTTTGTTTGCATAAATTTGTTTAAAATACTATTTTGAGTCAACCTGCAAGATCGTAGCTTTGAAAAATGCATTTTAACTTTTAATAAACGGGACATATGCCTTCCTGGCCATGTAAAATTAGAGCAGTAATCCCAGAACACTTCGCTGTCTTGTGTATTTGCACATTTCTGGAGAGCAAAACTATCATAAAAATAACTGTAAGTGATCATAAAAATTAAATTATATAATTTCTAAAAAAAACGACACCGACAGCAGTAACTACAATAAACATAGTAATAATACAATTTACATAAACTATGATTTCAAACATGTTTGAATTCATAAGCAATGTAACTTATTCGATTAATATTAATCACAAATATTAGGTCTTTTGATCCAGAAAAACACTTAGTGATCAATATAAACAAAGGATAACACCCAAAATATCCAAATAAATGTGAAGAAAATCTAATTGCTAATGATAAATTAATAAAAATACTAACCTGGTCAAAGGCACGAGTGAAAAAAGTAGCAAATGTTGAAGCAAAAGTAATACTTCTATTACGACAAGCAGCACCAATAGCAACACCAACTAAATTCTGCTCAGCAATAAAGCATTCAATATGCTGCTTTGGATTAACCTGAAATAATATTAAAATTAATTAAAAAATCTTTTTAAAATAAATAATTAGAAAGTTTGTGTAACAGGAAAACAAAAGGAACAATGAAAATAATAAATAACGAGATTGAATAAGTTCTTAAAATGTTAATTTTGAAGTATTTACATGGTTAGAAATAACTCATCATTTCAAATATTGAGCGATTTTGAGAAAAAGTATAATAAAATTATCAAAATCTGTGTGATTTTTCATGACAGCACAAATTATGCAATTAAAAAAAATTCCATTTTGTCATTTTTTTTCTTTTTACAGCTGGGACTAATTCTTGAAGGTAAAGAATCTATTAAATATTATAGTACAGTAGAACCCCACATATCTGTGCAAGTCTCAATTGAGACATCACGGGTCGAGCAGGTGAGCCGATTGATGCAAAGCATTTAAAAAAAAAAAAACTTTATTAATAAATCAGGTAAAAATTAAAACACAATATAAAAACTAATCTACAGGTTACTTGGATATCAATATATAAGTGACCTTGTGAACTTATTAATACATTATTATTATTTAGTACTAGTAAATATTAACATAATACATTAATATTCAGGTTTTTATTTTTTCCTCATTAAAAGCAGTTTAATCAGGAGCCGGTTAAGTGGGAGGCAGTTAATCAGGGATTCTGCTGTAGTAATTTAATTTTAAAGAGGAGTCGGTTAAAGCAGAATTTAAATAGGATTTTCTGCACTGAAGCCAAAGCTCTATCAACCAGAATACCTCATTGCACAACCTCTTATTCAGTCAAAAATAAAAATAAAATACAGCAGATCATTCTGCAAAGAGTATAAACATATAATTGATTCATTAAGCTTGGCCAACTTTTAAAATATTTAAATTGTACTACAATTAACGATGAAGATTCATTTACAAAGTAAAAAAAAAAAAACGGTTGGTATAGAACTGGATCAACCCAAATATATCAATAATCAATAAACTTAAAGCTGTATTTTTATTACTTACACTCATGATCTTGTCAGAGAAGGTAGAATTTTTAGTGTCGCCGTCCAGTGCAACAACTCTATCATTGGATTTAGCAATACTAGCAAGGGCTGTTCCATATGCTAAACGTGTTGCAACCAACTCACCTTTCTTATACTTTGGTGGTTCATGGAGTTTGACATTGGTGATATTAACATCAGGCGCATCATCAACTACAAGTGGTATATCCAATTTATAAGGACCTTTATTCTGCATCTGGCTATATAAATTCTAAAAATAAATGATTCAAATGTAACAAATAATATCAAACTTAAAATTTGAAATTTAAACAAATTAGGATTTTAATTTTAATTAACCTATTAATTGCTGTGCATTAACATATGAAAAAATAACTGGAGTGATGTTTAATTAATTTAGAAAACCTTAAGGTTTTTTAGCTTAAATAATTCAGTGAAACCAATGCAGTAAAACTTTCCCATTAATTTAGTATACATTTCTATTTTAATTTGTTAAATATATTTATGGGACATCTGTTTTTTTTTTTTACTTATTCTCAGATCCTAATAATTCATATTATTCAGAACAAGTTTATAACTAATAATTTAGTATTATTCAGTTAAAAACTTCAAAAATAAATTATTAAATGTATTGTCCAAGTGTTGGTGTGACTTGTTTTTTCTGAATATTGGTATAGTTTTTTTTTAAAAGTATTTGTGAAATTTGATCACGTTTGATTAGGTTCCATGCTTAAAACACAGTTTTAATTATGTTTCCTACTCTACAGACGTTCAAGGTGCTGTTCTTTTATAAACATAAAAAAAAAATATATAGTTGCAATGGAGAAAGATGTAGCAGTGTGGTACAGTTTCAACATCTGCAGTAAGAAGTAGTGATAGCCAATGTTTACCTGTTTATTAGAAGGGTCTTGAGTAAATCTTTTACATTTATTTTAAAGAAAATAACAAAAAAAACTTTAAAATAACCAATAAAAGTTAATATATAAGTTGGTCAAAATATATTTGATGAAATATGGCACTGAAAGAAAGGTTATAGTGGACGAGCCATTCCATACCAAAAAGTAACAAAATAAGTTAAAATATTCAATAAAAATGTTTAATTCAATAAGTTATAAAAGCAAACAATAAATAAAATTCAGGAGTGATTCATGACAGTGCATGCACCTTGCATTAACATGTGGTAATAGTCAAAATTTGCAAAACCAAAACACTCAATGCAAAAATTTTAACAAATTTAGAAAAAAAATCCAGGCGCTGATGGATTATTTTAAATATTAATTAAACTATAACTATTTTTTTTTTAAATACTCACGGCTTACTTCGGCTACTGGGCGGGTGGCGGATAGCGGAACAGTCTGTAGATATACAGGTTAGCTGCGAATAAGGGCATACCCAAATAAGTAGTCCCGGACAAGGAGTGGCAACATTAGCAGGGGTGGACGTATGATCTGTGGCAGGGTCATGTGTAATAAATACCACAAAACCCGTTGGTGATGTTGTGACATGGCGAGTAAGTGCCGCCAGTAAATATGCACTGCCCCGTACTGCCTTGAATGTTATGGGAGGAGATCCTAAAGGCTAGGAGAGAAAACTATAGAAATCAAGGGTAGCATGGATTCTGTAAGCTCCACCATGCTAGGGGACAGAACCCCGAATTCAAAGCTCTGGTCCTGGTCAAAGTCTGGCTAAGCAGATGATTTAAGTTAAACATAGACACAGTAGCCATACAGGAGACAAGATGGAATGGATCAGGCAGAGTGGACAAGAAGGATTTCTCAATGTTTTACAGTGGATCTAGCAAGAGAAGTGGAAAGAATGAATTCTTACTGGATTCTTAATCAAAAAGAAAATAAGGAAGAGTTTACAACTATTTGAACCTATTAGTGAGAAAAATTGTTAAACTTAGATTGAAAGGTAGATTCAGGAACGTGCCATTGATTTCAGCATATGCAAAGAATGCATGCCAGCAGAGTGGAAAACAAGCTTAATCTACCCTATACATAAAAATCTGGTGCGCGCAACACACAACTTTCACTTACTCTTTGAACTTTGAATAAAAATTATTTTCTGGCCATGTTAGGCTATTATAAAATGTTTTAAATTGCATTTTAAACTGAGCTAAAGCTAAAAAAACACAAATGCTATTAAAATAACAAAAGTCCTATTTATTATATCACCGGTTGATTATGGATTGTACGATTCGTTGATTATGGATTGTTCGATCCATTGATTATGGATTGTACGATGATAAGTCATTAAACTGTTATTTTCTATTGCAAAGTTTATTAAAACAGAATTAAGAGATTTGCAGTGTCTGTCATAGACAGGTCAAAAGTTGTCACACTAATTGTAAGTGGATTCTGTTGGAATATCGCAAAAAGAAGAATTATCAAACTATTCAGTAATTTAATTTTCTAAAAGGTTACATGATGATTTTTCGGAATAAACGGACGATAGATATCTAAATATTTAAATATATTATGAGATCTAGAGTTATTAAACTACAGTAAATATATTTAGGGTTATAAACGTATCTATGAAATATTTTTGTATTTTACTTCTTTTTTCACACAAGTACAATGAAATGGTAGAGGAATATCACAAAGAGAAGATCTATCGAATTATTCACTAATTTAGTTTTCTAAAAAGTTATATGACAATATTTTGGAATTAACTTTAATACCTAATTATTTATAGAGAAATACTTTATTAAAAGTAATGCTGCCCTTCGTACACAGCATACTTATCAATCCATACGGACATTAATTTTATATTATATTTTTCTTTTTTTTTTCTCCCCCTTCATAACAATATTCTTACAAATTATCAACAATAAGCCATATTAAACAATAGACATAGCATAATAAACACTTTCCCAAAATAAAAAAAAATTCCTTTTTTCTCTTTAAATTCTCAAACGCCAGGAACGCAATATAACATCGCACACATATATAACACAGCAATTCCTTGAATCTAGCCAAAAAGATAAGACGATTATGGACCAATTTAAAATTTAATAAATAATTACTAAACTACAGTAAATGTATTTAATATTATAAACACATGATTTATGCATCCATGAAATGATTTTATATTTTATTTCTTCTTTCACACAAGTACACTGAAATAGTTTTTTTAACAATGCCATCAACTTGCTTAGGTGGATCTTAAATACATTTAAAAAAAATTAGCATTACCTTATTAACACATTCAAAATTCAAAAACCGAAACAAAGGATATAACCATTGCAGCAGAACGTATTTAAAAAAAACTAGAGACCATATCTTATCTCCTAATTATCCGATTTTAACGATTTTGTTTTTGTTTTTTAGGCTATTCCATAAACTTTTAGAAAACCATATACAACATTCCCAAAAAAGTATATACTTTTTGAGTTATTCGGAATTTAATTTTACCATCCCTCGTAACTTTTTTTCAGCTTCTTTTCGCTGATGAATGTTATATAGATAAATTTGAAGGGTGTCGAGAAAATGACTTTAGCGAAGTTTCAATGAAATCGGTACATTCGTTTAGGCGCTACAGTCTATAGCTACGTTTTTCTGCATTTTTATTTTTTTTCTCCTTTATTAACTTATCAAATTCTTTCAAAAGTTATATTTAGCATTTTTTCGTAACTCTGAATAATGCCATATAATTATCTTTTTAAAATAAACCATATTAAATGTACATTAGACGAAGACGTATATGAACATTGGGCATTCAAGTCCTGTAAAGTGACATCAATGGGGATAAGACCTAATTTATATTAAAGACCACTTAATTATACAATGATACACCGAGTTTAATCAAAATCGTTAGAGCCGTTTTTGAGAAAACTGTGAAAATGTGTTTCAGCGTTGATATAAAGTGGCACTTCCGGTTAGCCGATTTTAAGGAAAAAGTTGCCGTCACAACTAAGGCATATACCTATCTTAAATACGTGATATCAGTTTCATAGGACTTTTCGTTTTTGAGCTAGACTGCTAACATACAAACACACAGACACACAGACCATTTGTCGGGACTTGGTCATTTCGACTCAGGGTACCTCAAAACATATAAATCCGCCGAAAACTCAGATTCAAAAATTTTCTCGATCGCATTACTTACACTTACTATATATTACATATATGAAAATTACAGAGGAGTATCACTCTAAGGAGTAGCGTATAAAATATTCTCCAACATATTGGTTCAGAGATTAATGAGTTTGCCGAGAATGTTCAGCAGGAATACCAATGCGGGTTCCGCAGGGGCAGGGGAACAACGGATCAGATCTTTGTAATGCGACAGTTACTCGAAAAGTGCTGGAGTATAAAACTGACCTTCACATGTTGTTTATAGACTACCGCCGTGCTTTTGATAGTGTGAACAGAATTAACATGATACGTGCTTTAGGAGATTCCAACATTTCAAATAAGCTAATTCTCTCGATACAAATATCCATGGATGGCAGTAACGCTAAAGTGTGTATTAATGGTATCCTTAGTCGCAGTTTTCCAGTCACTGCTGGAGTTAGGCAAGGAGATGGGCTATCTGGTACACTATTTAACCTTGCGCTAGATAGTGTGATTGAGAAGCTAAACTCCAATGGGGATATACTGTATTCATCCACTCAAATATGTGCATACACTGATGATATTTGCTTAGTGACAAGGAATAAGCAATCTCTTATCTATTTGTTCAAGCTGTTGAAGGCGAAAGGCGAAGTGCTTAGGTTAGAAGTCAGTGAAAGCAAAACCAAGTACATTTTGGTAAGTTCAGGATGTGATTCAAGAGCCAGAGAAGATCTGAGCATTGAAGGTTTTTCTTTTGAAAACATTAAATCCTTCTCCTATCTTGGTATAGAGCTTATTGCAAAAATGAAATATCAGCAGAAGTGAATAGACGGATTATGGCAGGAAACCAGGCTTACTACCCAAACAAAACTCTTCTACTCATCACTGCTGTCACAAACGACAAAAATAAGATTGTATAAAACATTGGTAAGACCAGAAGTGGCATATTCTGTGGAAACTTGGACCCTTTGCACTCCCACAATAAATGCGTTGAAAATTTTCGAAAGAAAAATTCTTTGTAAAATTTATGGACCTGTATTGAAAGAGGATGAATGGAGAATCCGGAAGAACAGCGAACTATATGAGCTATATGGATCCTGTGACATTGTCCGTTTCATACAAGCAAGAATTGAATGGTTGGGTCACGTAGCACAGATGAATGAATCGAGAATGCAAAAAAGAATTCTGCTTGGGAAGATGTATAGTATCAGAAGGAGAGGACGACCTCAGAGACATTGGATTTAGGATGTGGAAAGGGACTTGAAAATCTAGATATAGGGAATTGGAGGAGGAGAGTGTTGTGCAGAGAAGACTGGTGCAATGTTGTCAGAGAAGCCAAGGCCCAGTCCGGGCTGTAGAGCTACATAGTAAGTAAAATTAAATTATTTAATCATCAAACTTTCTGTGGAACTGAACCTAAATTAGATATTAGAATACATTAATTTCTACTGATGAGCAGTTTCATTTATAATATGTATGCTTAAAAACATTCAAAAGTAATGATGCTTAAGAATTATTCATTTCAAATTAAAAAATATTTGAATTATTTCAGTTACAGCAGTCCTTAGTTAAAGCAAACTCGCTATGGGGCCAAATTCTTCAGTTTGTGTTAACCAAAATTTTATCCAAGAAGAACAGATCTCATTTACATATACTTTTTTTTTTATATGGCATTAAGATTCCTATCATTTTTTAGATTTTTAAAAGTTTTCTCATTCATATTTCGATAGTGTTAAAGCCGAAAAGCCTAGGCACCAAAGGAGGATCAGTCGAGAGCTTTCATTGAGTTCAGACTCTCTTACCCTTTATCTATCCAAATTCCAAAGATGTGGAGCATCCAAAATTTAGGTCTAGTTCCTCGAGGGTGATATGGCACTTTTTTCTGTTGAGAATAACATGTTTCAGTTTGGTCCATATATTGTCAAAATTTTCTTCCATGCCAAGATCACAAGAGTTTGCTGTTTATAAGTTCTTTATACTCACATTTCTTTTCTATACTCTGTAGTTTTGTATTGTTGATTTTCTAGTATGTTTTGCGACGTTTCTTTCTTGGGCAAATAATCTGGGAGTCAACAATAAAAATAAGATGGTCTGCACCTATTTCAGCATTTATTACTTTTAAGTTGCTGTAGTATTTCCTTATTATTTTACTATATAGAAAGTAGACTATTATATATATATTTATAAAAACATAAAACTTGCCTTCTTTAAAATAATTAAAGTTGTTTCAAATAAATGGGAAAGTATTAAGCTGGTTTTAATTATTTATTTCTTTTTAACCTCTAATATTCTGGCCGAATATAGTATACTCTAGGTTTTTCCCTCCAAGACGTAAACATTAGAAGCTAGGAAAATGGTTCGGGTGTTTGGTTTTCTTAAGAAACAAGAAAACCAGGAATCAAATTAAAATTTCAAGCAATATAACTTATAGTGCTTGAAATTGAATACCAATATAATATATTTTAGACCAACAGGACTTGACTTTAAAGAAAACAAGAAAATAAATTTTGACAAAAATTACATAATAAAAACAAATGAACCGAACTATATATATATATATATATATATATTTGATTTGAAGGATTTAATTTTTCTTAAAAAAAAATATATATATATATATATATATATTTTTTTTTTTTTAAGATAAATTAAATCCTTCAAATCTCACTCATTTAATTTTCTCTTGAATGACATTTTGAGCCTGTTGACTCCATTTATAGTCTGTAATCATTACAATATTATTACCCTTTTTAAACATTATTTGTCATATTTTAATATATTTCTTTCATTATTATGTTAGTCCCAAAACTTGGTCCATCTTATGTATAGGTCCTGTGAAAAAATATAAACTCAACTTATAAAATTAAAGTATTAGTAAAATGTAAAAGTAAAATCATAGCACAATAATGTTTTTAGATTTTTTTTTATGTTATTAGATTGGTGAGAAGCTTTAAATGCCCATTGATCTGATAATTGATGAGCATCTAGTAAACAAATCTTGTTTATTGAAGAGAAGAATAGTTGGGGTGGTCAATCGAAAAGGAAGGCAAAAATAAATGATATCATTTATAAAAGTATCATTTATTTTTGCCTTCCTTTTTGACTGACCACCCCAACTATTCTTCTCTTCATTATTCACGACAGTCAACCAATTACCAATTATAAATCTTGTTTATGTTGTGAATAAGTATATAATGTTTGTTATCAATTGTCTGGTGTATGAATGGATTAATACCATCTCAGTTTTCTTCTTACTGTTAAAGAGAGAGTATATCGTTTAGTTTTTTATAAATCGCTTTGTGTGAATTAGACTTTTTTAAAAATAATATCGCATGGAACTCAAATCGCTGAAATTAAGCAGCAAAGGATAATGGACCTAAGAAGAGATGAGAAGACCTAGAGGCAAATTAAATCGCTCCCAGGGAGTAGTCAAATACTTTTTAAATTATGGTCCAGACAATTATCGGAAAAAGAAAAGAAGTGGAAGGCCTTCAAAATTTTCAAATGATGTATAACAGGCAGTTTTGAGAGAAATCTCGAAAACAAGAGCAACCTCTGCACAGATTGTGAGACGATTCAATTTAGGATGTGATGCTAGCTTGGTAAGGAAGAGAATAGCTGAATCAAAGTCTTTAAAATATTGTAAAGTTAAGAGAAAACCACGACTCAAAAAAAAATCATTTGCAGCGACGACTGCTGTTTGACAAAATACATATTCAAGACAGCAAAAAAATGGTCGTGTTAAAGGACTTGTGTGGTGAAAGGATTACACGAGCTTAGGAAAACATACCAGAGAACACTTTAATTAATTTAGTAAGGAGTATTCCCAAAAGACTGCCGGAGATGATCAAGAAACATGGTAGAAGTTCTCATTATCGAAATGAATTTACTCACTAAAGAGACAGAAAATTTTTGAGTTTATACTTTTTCAGATTGTTTTGTCATTTTTTCCAAATTGTAGTTAATCCTAGCAATATGATTAAATTTTTTATTAAAATTTTAACTAATCATTTACAGCATACATTAAATATTTTTCGTAACACAGATTCCAAAATAAATGACTTATTTATTGATAATTGATATACTCTTTATTTCCTTGAGTTTATATTTTTTCACAGGACTATATACCCACAATAATAAGATACAATAATATTTCCGATTTCACTTCACTTTTATGATGTTTTCAGTTCTGAATATGCAAACAAAATATCATTTAAATGAGTAAATAAAACTTAATACATACATTGATTATGTTTCCAGCCTTGTCTCCCAAAGGCTTGCCGTGCCAATTTTCCATATCTTCAATTCCAATGAGACCATGGCCCTTAAAAGTTTTGGCAATGATGGCAGTTGGTTTTCCTTTAGTAGCTTCTGCTTCAGCAAATGCCTGAAAAAATTATTCAACCACATAAAAAAAATAAAAAAGACAAAAATTAAAATGCAATAAAGAACCTTAAAATATTTGAGTCCACTGATTAGTAAAACCACCTTATCAATGAATTTTTTTTTTCCTTAAGCCCCTACCTCACCATTTATGGGATGCAGGAGGTTTAATTTAGATGTAAAAACAAACCTATTTTAACCAGAGAGGGAAGCTCGAGATTTCCTCTGGGAGTCCATCACAAAATAAATGTCAACCCACCCAGGCTGGATTCAAACTGGTACCCCAAGACTTGAGAATGATAACAAGTTCGACCAATTACGACCTGTTATCAATGAAACATTTTTTTTTTATCCCCCTGTCCAGCATACCTGCCATACAGCATTTTCAGCAGCAGTGGGTCGATAAGTTGGAATTCTGGTATGCTCACTACTGCCAAAAATCTACTTTTATTTATAATTTCTTATTTAACAAGTGTATTTTACAAGATGTAGTAAGTGGCTACCACCAGATTCCATGACCATAGGACTAAAGAAGGCTGCTATTACCATCCAGAAACATCATTTAAAATATTAAAAGATGTCTTCTAGTTAAGTTAAAATACTGGCAACATTTCAGCAGTGGATAGACTAGTATATAGGATGGAATAGTAATAGCAATAAAATACTAAATCTTAATATTAACTTCAATTAATATTTTTAATCAATCGAAATTGCAAACTTATATAACCAACAACACACCTTGGCTAATTCCACAACATCATGACCATCAACAACAATGGCATTTACTCCAAAAGCTTCGAATCTGCTCCTATACACATCCATATTATGCCCTAAACTTGTAGGACCTGACTGCCCTAGTCTATTCACATCACATATGATGCACAAGTTGTCCAATTTGTAAAAAGAAGCGAAATTCAAAGCTTCCCACACTGATCCTTCAGCACATTCTCCATCACCCAGCAATACAAATGTTCTGTAAAATACATAAAATAAAATTAATAATATAAGTAAATAAAAACAGTAAACATTATAATTCCAATTTAATTAACTAGTATTTAAAAACAAAATACTGAAGATTATGACAGTGGACCATGGTTAAAAAATAGATTCACAAGCTTTTGAATAATGACTTAATATAGCATTTGAAACTCTTGTTTCACACAATAATCTTTGATTCTAAAAAACAGATCCTGGCTGACAGAGTCAAGTAATTCAGCAACATTCACATTTGGAAGGCTATTGTTTCCAAAATTGAACCTTCTTAACCTAAACAAGATGGCGTAGGGGAGTGGCGATCCCATCGTCTAACCGCGAGGCTGCAGTCAGCCACTGGCCCACCAGTTTGGAGGAATACTTACACTGACACCCACACAGTACATTATAAGAGCAAACTAGACACACGGCCTCATGGCTAGTCAGCCAATAGATCTCCAGGTTGGGGGAATACTTACACTGATGCCCACACAGTACACTAAAACTTCTAAACCTAAACATGATAGCGTAGAGGAATGGCGATTCCATCGCCTAGCCATAAGGTTGCAGTCAGCCTCTAAGTACACTAAAAGAACAAACTACACACTACAGATTAAGGTCATCAACAATACACATCCTAGGAGCACCTTTCGTAGGGAGTCCCAGAGAGGGTGTAAGTATGCAGGCACTGATGTGGCAGCCTCACTAGCATACTAGGGCATGTAGAGAGGGTTGATTAACAAACTACCCGAAATAACACAATCATGAAACTCCAGAGGAAGGCAGGACCCTTAATGAGTTGTAGTGCTCTTAAACAAGAAGAAGAAATTTAAACATTTAGAGTTGCGATAAATCATTTTCACCTTCTGCCGCAGATTTCCTCGGCTACCGCCATTACAATGAGTGCTTTTATCCAGTAGTGACCCAGAAAACCATGAAAGACCATATTTTCATACAACATTTTCAGTTAAATTTATAAAACAGAATTTATGTCAGAAAGTTGATGTGTAAAATTAAATACAGGATTAGTCAAAGTAAACAGCCATATATGCATTATAAATATCAAAATTGAATGAAGATTTTAATGTCAGCAATGAAGTAATACCAGGACTTTTTTAATGAGCTAGTAAGTATATCTCTCATTGAATTTTATGTCAGTTGATTTGTGAAAACAAATAATCAGAAATACACAGTTACAGAAAATATAAACTTTATAATCAAAATAAATCTCGAACAGAAAAATATCTCAAAATTTCAATATAGAAATATAAAACCAATTTAACAATTACAAAAAATAGCCTTTCTTTAACAAGTGACAAAGCACTATTAACTCTTTAATCTCACTATTAACTCAAATATTTAAAACTTCTTATTACTCTAGATCGGTCAGAAGCAACCTTTTTTTAACCCCAAGGCAACTACAAATTTTAAAATTCTACATATAAAACCTTGTTTTAACATTAATTTCTCGACATTTTGAAAGTCATTTCTTAAATGTGAGCTATTTGTCAATCTATCAATTTCATCCAAAAATTTTATTACATCTTATTAAATGAAGTAGAAAAAATAAACCACTATCTGAATTCTTGGCATATGTATTTTCAATTATCTGAAGGAGTATCTTTCCTTAGGAATGCAAAATCAAAGGAAAGGAAAATGTTGCGAATGATGGATCTGTTTGGCAACAAATGCAAGTAGGTGGCACACCTGGAAGAGCACCACTTCATACATTTTTGCTTTTGTAATAGAAATGCTCAACATACTATTTTGTTTAATCATAATAAATTTAATTTTTATTTTTATTTCCTTCCTAACATCCATATTTCATACATTCAAGCATGAAACATAAAGTCGGGTCATTTGACCCGCTATGGTAGAAATAGGTATATATTAAGTCTTGGTATGATTAGTGTTAAACTTTAAAATATGTGCCTTTAAGCTTTGACTTTATGCCATTCCAGCATATTTCATACCAAGAAATGCTGATATGTAATTTTTGGAAATAATGGCTTCAATGTTTGATATGTGATTTTTGGAAATGATGGCTTCAATCAATGTTTGATATGTGATTTTTGGAAATGATGAGTTCAATGATATCTGTATGATTTCCAAAAATTAAATTAACACATTCAGGGTACAATGAAGTTGCAGGACACAGGAAACTTTTACAAACCAAAATGTGAAATCTTTGAAAAGCTACATGTAGCCAGGTTAGCTGCTGGCCGGGTGCTCATCCGTGCCCTAGATAATATTACAATTTCTTCTAAAGTAATTTAAAAATATTTTACTTTGAACTATATCAGGTGATAACTAGTTTATTTTAAATAATTGATTATACTAAACAAATAGATTAATAATGATACTTAAATTAGAACAACAATATGAGCTGAAGATATAAAATAATAATAAATAACCTTTATGGAAATAGGACAAACCTGTAAGCTGCTTGGTCAAAATATTTTCCAACATAAGCCATTCCACAGCCAACAGAAAGACCTTGACCTAATGAACCTGTAGCAACATCAATGAAATTAAGACGAGGAGTTGGGTGTCCTTCCAGGTCACTTGATAATTTCCTCAAGTTCAACAAGTCTTCAACTGGGAAAAACCCAGCTTCGGCCACAGCTATAATATAAAAATTTAATTTGATAAAGATTTCAGAAACTACAATAATATAGAGTAAGGAAATATAACAAATTAAAAACAAATTTAAATAGATACCCTTTCCTTTCTTTCACAAAACTACTTTAAAACAAGCATCTTTCAAGAGACTAAAATATTTTTTTCTTGCTATATTTTTTTATGTCGATAATGTATACTCTTACTGCCAAAGACCTAAGCAAAGAAGTCAGTGCTGCTTTGAGGTCTTTATTATTTAAAAACTTTTCCACCCAAAAAGACAAGTTCCAAAAACAAGTGAAAAATGTTTGGTGCCAGGTCAGGGGAGGTTTAAGGAGGATGTTCAAAAATTTATCTCTTAAAAGTAAGTTCTTCCGTTCTGAAATTCTTCCTAGTTTAAGTTGATGAAAGAGGCCAGGCATAGTCATTAATAAAAATCATCTTTTCATAAAACTTTCCACACCTGATGTTCTGAATAGCCAATCATAGTCGAAATATAAATGTATACATCACACCTGAAATATAAATTACCATGAAACTCATACCGCCCTCGACCTTAAACACAAACGACTCAGCATCCTGTACGATTCTTAACTTGGAATATTGGAATACATTGTCTCTCCATCGACCTGGTGTATTAAAACTTCCTAGATCCATTCGACTAGTATAAGATTGACATAGGTCCTATCCAGATCAGATGGACTGATCATGGAATTCTTGAAAAAAGGTGTGGAAAAATTCAAATAGTCTATTTCTCTTAGGTGTTTTACAAATTCTGAATCTGAATTTGAAGTTCACAAACAAAATTTTCCATGGTACTTGTCACTTAGCCGGTCGCCATGGAACCTCCCTTCTTATCTGGTTTAAATAAGAATATATAAACATATATGTTCAAAAATAAAAGTGTATTACATTTCTTTTTGTCGATTTCAATTTCCATAAATATGACTACGAAGATAGATATTACCAATGTTCAGGTTATAAACTTTGGCGAATAGCAATAGGCGGAGAGTGGCGACATGCTATATCACTTGTACCTCGTTGTACTTGTGACAGCCAGTCGCCACAGAACTTCTCTTCTCGTAACTGGAGTAACCTCTTCTTATCTTTCCGTTATATTCCGAGATATGTGCAAACAACTATGAAATTGACGCAATTTTATTAGTTTTATGGCCATGATTCCGAAATTCATCATAAATTTTCCCAATAGACTTTTGATGTAGGATTGACAGGTGAGGAGTTAAAGCAAATTGACCGTTCGTTTTTTTCAAATGAAATAATTTTCGTCGGTATTCACACAAAACTCATGATCTGTGCACCTCTTGAAGAAATTCATAATAATCAATTTTATAGACCATTACATTTCTTATATACCTCATGAAGATATGTTAATATGTGAGAAGGGAAGAGGTTGTAAAAGCTCACGTTATTGAAGTTATATTTCCGTCATAGTATCTGCCGCAATCAACATAAGTACTTTTTATCTTTTCAATTCTTTTGATTCAGCTTATTAAAGTATGTTCATAATAGAACTAGAATGCATAAACAAATTATACAGCTTTTATATATTCTCTTAGCAGGCCCTGTCTGGCTCCAATTGGGACCCTCGGCCTCCATAAAATAATCAAACATTAAGGACCGAAATGGATATCATAGTACGAGTGAACCAACCACATTTCGCCTACACGCATAATACAACTCTTCATAAGCTTGAACTGAATTGAAACAGCATCAAATTTCCTATTGAGCTCGAGTATATTCGTTAATAAACGAAAAAGTAAAAAAACATTAGAGCACTCTCACTTTAAAGCGCATATCGGTACTTAATTTTTTTTTAATATTATGAATATTTATGCCTCTCATGCAAACATACAGGCCAGGTCGGCAATCACTGAGGGCCCCCGTGCCTGAGGGACCTCCCAGAGGGTCCTCGACATAAATGTTTTGTACTTTATAATAGCCATAGAATGTTCGGGGACTCTTCTTGGAAAGCCCGAAGATCGTTATTTTGAATTTATCTAATAACGTTGTATCTTTGCTCTCAAAAATAATTGTTTTGAATTCGTTTATTTTCGTGAAGTTTTGGGGCCCCTTCGATGGGTCCTCAACATAAATATTTTTTACTTGTTTATAGCCGTAGAATGATTGGGGGCTTCCTCTGAGGGCCAGAATCATTGTTTTATATTTACATTTTACTCTATTGTTTGGCCTAAAAACTAATTTTTTGGAATTTGTTTATTTCTGGATAATTTTAGGGGCACAAGGAGACCCAACATAAATACGTTATACTTCTTATAGCTGTAGAATCATTGTGGGACCACCTCTGAATGTCCCAAATATCGTTATTTTGTATTTTTCTGGTACTATGGTATGTTTGGTCCCCAAAATAATTGTTTTGTATTCGTTTATTTCTGAATTCTGACTCTGAATATATATATTTTTCACTTTTTTATCGTCGTAAAATGCTTGGGAGCCCCCTCTAATGATCCTAAAAATCCTTATTTTAAGTTACTTATTTAATGACTTTCAGGGGGCCCAAATGGGGAAGTAAAGGAATATGGGACACAAGTTGCCACATAGCCTGCTCTTCTCAACTACTACTCTCACCTTCTCGTGGTGAGCTCCGTTAAACCTAGCAACTTGGATCCAAGATAGTGGTAACCGTAATCCAAGGTGAGGGTCTTGACAGTAAAAAAAGTAAAAAAACATTAGAGCACTCTCACTTTAAAGCGCATATCGGTACTTAATTTTTTTTTAATATTATGAATATTTATGCCTCTCATGCAAACATACAGGCCAGGTCGGCAATCACTGAGGGCCCCCGTGCCTGAGGGACCTCCCAGAGGGTCCTCGACATAAATGTTTTGTACTTTATAATAGCCATAGAATGTTCGGGGACTCTTCTTGGAAAGCCCGAAGATCGTTATTTTGAATTTATCTAATAACGTTGTATCTTTGCTCTCAAAAATAATTGTTTTGAATTCGTTTATTTTCGTGAAGTTTTGGGGCCCCTTCGATGGGTTCTCAACATAAATATTTTTTACTTGTTTATAGCCGTAGAATGATTGGGGGCTTCCTCTGAGGGCCAGAATCATTGTTTTATATTTACATTTTACTCTATTGTTTGGCCTAAAAACTAATTTTTTGGAATTTGTTTATTTCTGGATAATTTTAGGGGCACAAGGAGACCCAACATAAATACGTTATACTTCTTATAGCTGTAGAATCATTGTGGGACCACCTCTGAATGTCCCAAATATCGTTATTTTGTATTTTTCTGGTACTATGGTATGTTTGGTCCCCAAAATAATTGTTTTGTATTCGTTTATTTCTGAATTCTGACTCTGAATATATATATTTTTCACTTTTTTATCGTCGTAAAATGCTTGGGAGCCCCCTCTAATGATCCTAAAAATCCTTATTTTAAGTTACTTATTTAATGACTTTCAGGGGGCCCAAATGGGGAAGTAAAGGAATATGGGACACAAGTTGCCACATAGCCTGCTCTTCTCAACTACTACTCTCACCTTCTCGTGGTGAGCTCCGTTAAACCTAGCAACTTGGGTCCAAGATAGTGGTAACCGTAGTCCAAGGTGAGGGTCTTGACAGGCCTAGGGGTAACCTGGGTTCCGGCCTGTCAGGATGGGAGGATGTCGGCAGCAGGGCATCTCCTTTTAAACAAAGGAAGTGCCTCTAGAGAAACTTGTACTATGGGACTGAGGGCATACTGCGAGGATGGACATGACTCTACAATCGTAGGGGACCATTCAGAAAGAGGGCCCAGACAGAAAATCCTACTGGTCCTCCAGGTTGGGAGTTGGGCATCAAGCTAACGACCCGGTCCCGGAAAAAATGATATTGTTACGAATAATCAACAGAAACATAGCCGGACTCATCTATTGGTACGACCCAAGCGTGGACTAGGAAAATCCTTAACTTTAGCGACATGGAATGTGAGGAGTCTCTTCCAGGTTGGAGCGAGTCATAATTTGGAGGCGGAGTTGCTTCGGTATGACATGGATGTGGCAGCTATTCAGGAGATAAATTGGAAGCATACTCCAATGGTCCAACTAAGTGATTATCTGCTTATCAACAGCGGACAAAGGCGTAACCAAATAGGGACAGAGTTCATGTTAAGAAATACAATAAAAGATGCCCTCCTGAAATTTGAAGCCCTGAGCGAGAGAATATGCATGATAAGATTAAAAGGGAGATTCTTTAACATCTCAATCACATATGCCCCAATAGAAGATGCCGATGAAGAGACAAAAGGCGCTTTTTACGAAGCCTTGGAGAAAACCTACGACTTGATGCCTGGTCATGATGTGAAATAATGGATAATAATGGGCGATCTTAACGCAAAAATAGGCAAGGAAGATTTCTTTAGACCCACCATAGGACCCCACAGTAAGCATGAGGAAACCAATGACAATGGGTTCAGAATAGTAGACTTCGCTATGGAAAGGAACATGTCAGTCAGCAGTACTTACTTCCCTCATAGGAACATACACAAGGAGACTTGGGTATCTCCAGATGGGCAAACACGCAACCAGATTGATCATGAGCTTATCCAGGCAAGACACGCCTTTGGTGAGGGTGAAATAACGACAAAAGATTGCGTTAAGAACCAGGGGAAGAGCTGAGAAACCTGCGCCACGATTTGCCGTTGAGCACCTTAAAGAAGAAAACGTGAGGCAGAGGTTTGTAACCAATGTTGCTGAGAAGCTCACCAATCACCAGAAAGTACTTAATATCGACTCAAGGTGGACAAAGATGAAAGAAGCCCTTGCAACCACAGCAGCAGAAGAGCTTAATGAAGTTCAAAAACCAGCAAGAAATGAATGGAATGATGAAGAATGCAAGACCCAGGTAGATGCAAGGAGGAGAATGCTTCAACGACTTACTAGATCTGCTGCCCAAGAATTCAAAGAAAAGAGAAAAGAAGCCAAAAAGACATGGCGTCAGAAGAAAAGGTTATCTGACAGGAGAAAATTAGAGGCAATACAAGAGAACTTCAATGCACAGGACTCCAGGAGTTTCTTCAGAGGTGTAAGAGAAGTTAAGGATAGATATGAACCTCGTCTTAATTTTGCTAAAGACAAGGAGTTGGCAAGGAAGCAGTTATTGGCAGATGGACGGAGCATTTCTGGGAGCTGCTTAACCGGGGCAGAACAGAAAACGCAGAAAGGTCTAATGAAATAGAAGTAGAACTTGACTCCGAGGAACTGGCCGAAGACGACGGCCCCTCCCCCTCCTCCCGACAAAGAGGAAATAATGGAAATTGTGCAGGGTCTGAAGAATTATAAGGCGCCAGGCAAAGACGGAATCCAGACTGAACTTTTTAAATATGGTGGAGATGAAGTTTGGGATAAGCTCCATAAGCTTATTTATGATATATGGATGGAAGGATAGGTCCCAGATGAGTGAAAAGTGTCGGTCTTATGCCCAATCTATAAGAAGGGAGACAAGCTAGAGTGCAGGAACTATCGAGGCATGCTTGGCATAGCTTATAAAATACTATCCTCTGCCATTGGTAGGAGACTGATGTCAAACATGGAGAGGGAAGTAGGTGAATATCAGTGTGGCTTCAGGAAAGGTAGATCGACTATTGATCAGATCTTTACCGCCAGACAGGTGCTAGAGAAGTCACTGAAATACAAGGTTGACCTACATCACCTCCACATTGATTTTCAGCAGGCATACGACTCATTGGATAGGCATGTTTTGATGAGGGATCTCCTCTCTGGATGGATCTATAATGCTCACCCGCTTTGTAAAAATGACTATGGCAGATACAGAGTCAAACTACAAGGATTGCTGTCTGAGGAGTTCTCTCTGGTTTCGGGAATGATGCACCAAGGCTATTCCCTTTTTTAACAAGACCTTGGAGAAGGCGGCAAGGGCCATAAGAACCAACCCAGAAGGTACCATCTTTGACCGCTTCACACAACACATGGCGTACGCAGATGACGTAGAGATTGTGGCAAGGACGCTCCCAGCGCTGGCAGGTGCATTGAAGGAATTTGAGACCACTGCAGTAGCTCGAGGTCTACAAATAAAGAGCAAAAGACGATGTACATGAAGAGTTCAAGACATCGCCCTCATCAAGATCGGACACTCATCAACACGAGTTTCCAGTATGCAGAGAGTTCAAGTACCTGGGATCCCTTATGACGGCAGACAATGATGTAGGAGCTGAGATAGGAGCCAGGATTGCTGCGGGAAGCCGATGTTTTTATGCCATACAGTGACTACTTAGGTTTCGAAGTCTATCAAGGAATGCCGGATTGACAATTTATAAAACGATGATTCGTCCGGTAGTCACATACGGAAGCGAGACGTGGGTTATCTCAGCAAAACATGAGAGGGCTCTTGGAGTGTGGGAGCATAAGATTCTTAGAAGGGTTTATGGGCCTGTATGCGATCAAGGCGCTTGGAGGTCCTGATACAATCGGGAGTTGCGACAACTCTACAGGGACGCAGATCACGTGTCATTAAGGTAGAACGAATAAGATGGTTAGGGCATGTGGAAAGGATGGCAGCGCAACGAGTACCGAGGAAAATATTGTATGGGCGACCTTGAGGAGCAAGAAGAGAGGAAGGCCACCACTCTGTTGGATGGAGGATGTTGAGGCGGATTTGGGACAGCTTGGTGTCAGGCGGTGGAAAGCTGTCACATTGGACCGAGACGAGTGGCGACGTATTGTTGAGAAGGCCAAGGTCTCACGCGGACTACAGCACCAAGGAGTAAGTAAGTAATGACTTTTAGTTTTCAAAATAGGAGGGTGTACATAGTCAGTTAAGGTGAATTCTCTTTTGGGGACAAATTCTTTATATCATATAACAATTTCAGCTGTCAGTTCTGCAGTTAAATGAAACATTAAATTTCGCCAATTTAAATTGTCATATAAAAAGAAATGGCTTTCAATTGACTGACCAAGGTCGTATGTTCAGATGAGGTTTATCTAGAATTTAAAATGGTTATTAGCTGTAAGTTCTTCAGTTAAATGAAATGATTAGTAGCTCCTAGTCTATAAGTATTATTACCAGATTCAATGGAGAGGGAGAAGAAACATGGTGATTACCTGTTTTGAATGAATATGTTATGTGGTCTAATTTTTTTATTTATATTTCTACTCAAAGTAGAGTAGTAAGTGAAAGTTGCATGATACACTCTATACACCACATATTTTCAACCAGATTAAGACTACTTAAAAAAGTTAAAATGTAAAATAAGTAATATAATAATGAGCTGGATAAGTTAATATTATAATAAGTTGGATAATTTGTTACCATAAAAATACAATAATTAGACAATCATTAAGTCATAATACACTGAATCCAATCAAATATTTTATATCAACAAAATGTTCTAGGAAAGTAACCTAGCCTTAGGAATATTGTTGTTATTTATGCAATAAGAAAACATATTTTTAAACTTAATAATTTACCAATCAAATAAGAGAATGAGAAAAAATAAGTATTTCATTATATCAATATTAGACAGATTATTGTTACATTGGAAAAAAAACTGTTACTTGTTGGTTATTGGGGCTACCAGAGGTTGTAACTGTAATAACAATTAGGTATGACTTTCAAACCAATATATCTCTTAATTATTGAATAAACTAAGCTTTAGTTTACAAAATACCTTCTTTTACTCAGTTCATCAACTTTAAGTTTGAGGTATTGTTGTTGGTTAAAAAGAATGAAACTTCTAAATAAAAACATTAAAGAAAAAAAATGTTATAGTAATTTTATAACATTTTTTTATATAGAATTAGGTAAATGAATAAAGATAGATTTTACATTTCTGTCCAAGTTTTAATTTTAAATTACATTTATGGAGTAAAGCATTTTTATTTTTTGTACTATTTAAGATTATTTATTTCCACATAATATATATGGGGCCCAGTTTATTGATAATAGTGTTCACAAATCTTTTTCATTCCCTATAGATTAGACATATGTTAAAATCAGTGTCTGTATAAATCAGTTTAACAAAATGTCCAAGCAATTAATTTAGTCTAGAAAAATGGCAAAGACTTGAAATTAATGTAATTCTTTGCCGTTATTGTAAAATAGGCTATAACACTATAAATATTGTAGGATATAAATACAGCGCAGGTGATTATTAGTACAACTGTATTACCTACATGAGTCAACAATAAATCATCAGAGCCCATCTTATACTCATAAAATAAACAAACAATTAATTTACATCTGGTTAACACAAGTCTTATTACACCACTTTTACTTCTATAGTCTCATAATATTCACAGAATCAAATTGAACATACACATAAATGAAATAGATAGTTAATAGCACTATTTAAATTTTTAAAGTTCTAAAAGCCATAAAAGAAGAAATAGTATAAAGGCACACACATACACACACACATATATATACACACCATAAAAAATTAAAACTCATTTGTGATTGGTTATAATTAAATTTAATATTTGAAATACAGTTCTAATCCTCAAATAACGATTCAAACTTAACAGTCAACGTAGCATTATATAGGTTAAAAAAATTATTTTGAAATTTAGCTTTAATTTCAATATAGAAATATTTCAGAGCTGAATTAAGGAATATGATTACAAAATTAAAGAATTTGACAATTACAATACAAAATAATGTAAACTAAAATGTTAACTGGAACCGTTAACACTAAATATACTTCAGTAGAAAATTAAAATTGTATCTCAATATTCAAATATCCATGACTAAAATCTACAGATCCATTTAGACATTTCCCAAACTATGGGAAACACAATTATCAAGCTTATCTAACAGCAGCGTTATTGCTAAACCAAACTATTTATTTTACTTCTTTTGATACCAACAGCAGATGGAATATATCAAAAACAAGGAACAAAAATACTTGCATAGTGAAATAATCATTTATATATTTTTTTATCCTATTAGTTTGTGAAATGTTTAAACCCATCTTTAAACTTAATCTTTAAACTATTCATTAATGCAATAATGTCAATATACCTGAATATAGTATAGGGGCAGCATGGCCTTTGGACAGCACAAATCTATCATTGGATTTGTGTAAAGGTTCTGATACCTTATATTTCATGGTATGAAAAAATAAAACAGACATTATTTCTGCCATAGATGCACATGATGTTGGATGCCTAACAAATAATTTAATCAGTAAGTTAATGCAAAAACAAAATTCCAAATAACACAAAACTTTGTCATTAACATTATACTAACCCTGAATTTGAGGCATTTGTCGCATTTATGGAGTCTATCCTCAACTTATTGGCAATGTCTCTCAGTTCTTTAAATTTCTTAGAGTAGTCCGCCATGGTGCACGGTAGAATAACGATTAAACTAAAATTGCTTTATCAAGTCGGCGTGATGTAACAATTCAAACCACACACAACGGCGTGACTATCAAGAGCGCTTTCTTTTAAATATCACTATCGATATTAATCTCCTAAAAAGGGTTTAAGGTAATCCATTTTTTCAACCTACAATATTTCGAATATTTGATAAGATTGGTAATTTAATGCTTCAACTGTTGAATAACGACAAGGTATTAAAAAAGAGGATTCTCAATGTCTGAAAACATATCTTGGTAGGTGTGTGAAATTTAAAATACATGATAAGCACCCCCATTATTTTTTTATGGAAATGTTCTATAGACATAGGTCATACAGGAAACACTTCGCCAGGCAAACAATTTTGGTTATTTTCCGCTTCCAAAAGAAAATCCCTCAAAAATAGACTGAAATTTCTGAATTAGCCCGTATTATTCCAAAATGCCACAAAGTATCATAATATTGAGACTAAACAGACAGATTCAAAATTTATAGAATTTAGAAAACATCATGTATTAAAACCTGATCAATTAACATTTAAGTTGTTTGTTTCTCAACGCATAAAGGTGTGTTTAGACAGTTCTCAGACTATGGGAAACACAATTATCTAACTAAACTAATAGCGACATTAGCACAAAGTCCAACTTTTTTAAATTTTTTTTTGTTACCGAAATTAGATGTAAAATATCAAAAACACTAGCATAGGGCAAAACCATTAAAATGTTTGTTTCCCATAGTTTGGAAATGTCTAAACGCTCATTAAAGGGACCATTACATGGTCAATATCGAATATATTAATGTTCTGAAGGATATACCTAGTTCTGCCATAAATACTGTTACAAAAGTTAAACTTTGTTTAATTCCTTGGGTGTTGTTTAGATGATCCTTACCTCCATCAGGTTATTTTCTTTACATGTCAGGATAATAATCCCAATTAGCTTGTATTTTTCTTTCGCTCAATTAACTGGAGTGGAGTGATAAAGAAAACCGATTAGCTTTTAGTCGCCTATTATAATTAGATTAGTCGCCTTACACAAAGTTGGAAAATTTATGTCAGAGATTTTCAACACTTTGAAACATTTGGGCTTCAGCCGTATGTTCGTTTACAGCATTATAAATAGATATAGTGAGACCCTATCTGTATGTAATAGACCTCGATCGAGCCGGGCCGTCTCCGCACTGCGAGAACGACAAATGCAGTGAGAGCAGTGGCTGCTCGAATCAAAAGAAATCCCATTCGAAAACAACAAATCATGTCTCGGTAAATCTCAGTCAGATCAATGTCTCGCATAATAAAAAGTGGCCTTAGGATGCGTGCATTTCGAAGAATGACAGGACAAAGGCTAGCCACATCCCTAAAACAAATTAGAGTGGATAGATACAAAGCGCTCCTTGGCCGTTACACCAATGGTTTTCATCGAAAGATTTTGTTTAGCGATGAGAAATTGTTTACAATTGGGTTTTTTCCTTATTTATTTTAATACTCATTTTTTCCAGCATCTTCAAACTCTTGTAAATCCCCTGATACTGCTGCTTTAGATCTTGACGATATTACCACGTCATCAGCATACGCTAAGTGATGCGTAATTCGATTATAGATTGTTCCTCCTTGGTTTGTCTTTATTGCTCTAGCCGCTTGCTCCAACTCAATATTAAATAATACAGGAGAGAAAGGATCTCCTTGGCGTAATCCATTCACTACCTCAAATTCTTCTGATAGAGTGTTCTGTATCTTCATTCTGCATCTTTTTTTTTCAAGGATCATCACACTCAATCGTACGAACTTTTCTGGAATTCCAATTGCCTTCATTACTTTAAGCAGTTCATTTCTATTGAGACTATCGCATTTGTATATGCTTGGTGGAAATCGATAAAGAGGTGATGGAAATTTATATTATATTCATATGCCTTCTCCAGCATTTGTCGAATAGAGATGATCTGGTCAATTATACTTCTCCCTGGTCGAAAGCCACTTTGGTGTTCACCAATATTTCTCTCTGGCCATGCCATAATTCTTCGGTTTATGGTAACTGAGAGAACCTTGTAGACAGTGGACAGGAGGGCGATAGCTGTGGCAGTTTAACAAGTCTCCGTTCTTATGTATCGGGCACAAAAACCAACACATTCCAGTCCTGTGGCATCTTAGAGTCTACGTGGGCTATTCTTAGAAAACTGACCATTGGTAATACACCCCAGTCTCAGTCCAATTCCGTTTCTGCTGATAACCTCAACGCTCACTTTGTCTCCTGTCCTCTTGCATCCACATCTCCCACGTCCAGTCTGGCTCCTATGTTCTCTTCCTTTAATCCTGATCACTTCTTTCTTTCCCATATTACACCAGATGAGCTCCTTAAATCCATTCAGAAGTCCCATACCAATGATTACGGTCCCGACAACATCCCAGTCAGACTGATTAAAGCCGCATTGCCATCCATTCTTCCGATCCTTTATCATATATACAATTATTCTCTTCAAAATGCTACCTTCCCTACATCCTGGAAAACCGCCCTAGTACGCCCATTGAAGAAGACCTCAAACCCATCAGTTCCTAATGATTTCCGACCGATTTCCCTCCTTTCAAACCTCTCAAAACCATTAGAGCGGTTAGTCCAATCCCAGCTATCCCATTTTTTAGAGGACAATAATCTCCTAAATCCCTACCAGTCTGGATTCAGGCCTGGTTATTCTACTCAGTCTGCCCTAATCAAAATTTCCCAAGACCTTCACACAGCCATAGATCAGCAGAAACTAACCATCCTTATTCTCCTAGACTTCTCCAAAGCTTTTGATTCAGTAGACCACAACATCCTCCTAACCAAACTTAAAAATATCTCTTTTTCTTCTAGTTCCCTTAATTGGTTCCAATCCTTCCTAACCGGTCGCTCCCAGTACGTTGTAATTCCTAATAACCCACCATCAGAATCTCTACCTCTGACCAGAGGCGTCCCACAAGGCTCTTCCTTATCCCCCACCCTTTTCTCCATCTATATAAATGACCTCCCATCCTCTATCCTGCACTGTCATTACCACCTGTATGCCGACGACATTCAAATTTACCTCTCCTTTAATCCGACAGATATCTCAGATGCCACTCAAAAACTTCAGGAAGATATTGACAGAATAAGTGCTTGGGCAAACCTCAATAGGCTCACTCTGAACGCCGAGAAGACAAAAGCCATCTTGATCGGATCCCCTTCACTCCTCAAATCCTCCCCAGTATCTCCCAATCTCTTCCTGAACAACTCACCTATCTTATTCTACACCACCGTTAAAAACCTAGGTGTTACTTTCGATCAGTCCCTATCCTGGAAACCTCACATCTCCCAAATTTCCCGTCGCACTATCTCCACCCTAAAACAGTTCAATCGTCTACGATATCTCCTTCCATATAAGTCCCGTCAACTCCTAGTTTCCTCCCTTGTTTTCCCCCACTTCGACTACGGCTGTATGGTGTACGGTGGACTCCCGGGAGATTCCGAGGCCAAACTTAAACGCCTAATGAATTGCGCACTACGATTTGTTTTCGGAATCTCAAGGGATACGCATATTACCCAGTATTACACTGAGTTGAGGTGGCTCTACCCATCCTATCGCCGTCAGTACTTCCTAGCCACCTTTCTGTACCAAATTATTAGAACCCATCGACCCTCCTACATTTTTCACAGCTTACAATTCAAATATTCCATCCAATCCCGTCCCACCAGATCTCGTACTTCCGACCTCTATCCTCCTCCTCACCGAACTGCTGCGTTTGACAAATCCTTTGCAATACAAGCCGCCTCCCTCTGGAATTCCATCCCACCTGATATTCGACACGCTCAATCAGTTTCCTCGTTTAAACCACTCCTCTTTAAGCACCTACTCCTTTCTCAATCCGAATGATTGTGAAATATATCTCAGAGAAATATCTGAGCACCACCAGAGAGTACCTCAATTTATTAAGGTTATTTTAGTTTCTCATACATATGTACAATTTACTTGTTCTTTTTTTTCTCTTTTCTGTATTTTTATCGTAAGTCAACTTTCATTGTAAATATACAATTCAATTGTAGCCACACAGACATATAATCTGTATTCATATTTTGTTCTTAAGGGACAACAGTCCCAGAATAATAAAACATTTTTTTCATTTTCATTTTCATTTCATTTTCATCTTCATTTCCGTCCAGACGTCATATATAAGGTTGTAAATCTCCTCCACCAGTGCCTCGCCACCATATTTCACAATCTCATAAGGAATACTGTCTATTCCAGGAGATCTGTTATGGAGTGCTTCGATTATTTCCTGTATTTCATCTCTGTCTGGTGGTATTTCTTCTTCCTCCAACGCCAAGAGTCTTCCTAAAATGGTCTTTATTGATTGATGATGCTTTATTGATGGTGGGTTTAATAGTTCTGTGAAAAACTGCTTCCATCTTTCCAAAACAGATATTTTGTCTCCTACAAGATTTCCCTCACTATCTTTAATGAATTCCAGTCTTGGTATATAGCCATTCTGAAATTTTCTCATGCTTTTGTAAAACTTTATGGTTTGTTTAGCTGCAAAATTTTCCTGAAGTTTTTCCAGCTTTTTAGTTTCATACAGCTTTTTCTTTTGCTTGAATATGGTCTTTGCAACCTTTCTTTTGACATAATCTTCGGCTGTTTTTCGGGTCCTCCGTTGGATCACTTTCTGTGTGGTATTGTTTCTTTCTTCAGTGGCCCTAATGCAATTATCATTAAACCAGTCATTTTGATTTATTTTTGGTGTGGTGCCAAAAATATCCTCTGTAACTTCTCTGAGAACATTTTTCAGATTCTTCCACTTTTCTTCTGTATTCATATTGGTAGACACTTGTTCTCTCATGCTTTCCGTTATTTTTCCTTGGAAATGTTGAGCTACAGCTTCCTCTTTTAGTTTTTCAACATTGTAAGTGGTAGTGTTCCTTACATTCCGTTTTTCTCTTAACACCAGCTTTTGTTTATATAAAATCTTGACCAGATAATGGTCTGAGTCACAGTTAGCTCCCTTATAACTGCGGACATCAAAAATATAGCTGGCGTGTCTAACAGTGAGAATATGGTCAATTTGATTTTTGCTCAGGCCATCCGGCGAGGTCCATGTTTCCTTATGAATATATTTATGGGCGAAAAACGTGATTCTTA